AAGGTTTTTTTCAGAAGCGGCCTAACCGCCGCTTCCTTTAAACATGATTTAATATGTCCTTTCCTGAAGGATGCATTGATGATGTCCATAAGGAACCTCTTCAACACATCCCCCCCGGACGGCCAGCCATGATGGGTAAGGGTCGAGATGACAAGTTGTTTTCTTCACACTACCAAGGAGCTTGTCCATGTCATCGGTACTCACAGATTGGAGCTGATCCAGTAAAATTACATCGGTGGAGTCGCTGGACACCTTGTCTATACTTTCTGTTAGAACCCTGGCGTCTAAGTTGGCTCTTATCTGAGAGATTTTATCTGCAAAGAAGTTGTTAAATACATCACAGCAGGCCGTCATTGGGTTAAGTAAGGGATTTGGCGCACATTACTAATGAAGTAATTTAACAGCCAATCTTTGAGTGAAAAGCTATTTTCCCAATGATGGGCTTCTGCAGATGGGCCTAAAGTGCTGGCCTGGAGGCAGAGATGGGACTGGGCAGCCATGCGATGGCCGTTCCAACACTACACCAATGCCGTCCTGATGCTGCACACCGTTATGCATGGCACAAGGCATCAGGACATCCTTCCGCTGCAGCATTTTGACGCGCTGCACTGGAAAGGTCGAAGAAGAGCTGCATCCCAGCTCTTAGGGGAGCCTTTTGCCACCCCTGAAAGGAGAGGCATTTTGCAGCTCTTTTCAGGGTGGCAAAAGTGAGGATCAGGGCCATGGCATGGGGTAGCCTCCCGTCTGCACCCCACCTATATTAGTCCTACACAAGACTTTAGGAAGCATGCTAGTGTTATCATTTGTGGTGCTTATCACCATTTATTGGCTTTCACGCCATCTGTGGCCATCATAGCACAAATCAAGTATTTCTCTTGTACCCAATGAGCGTTATGATATTACTTGTTGATCCCAATCTCGGAAGTACTTGCTACTGGCCTTCTCCTTTAGGGTTCAAGGCTTTGGAGGGGTGTGTGTGTTTGTGGGGGTCAACATGTTCAGGTTTCCTGGAAATAGACCAGCCAGGCAAAGCTACAATGATTAGCTTGCTTCTGGGGTCAAAGGTGACACAATCCTGACATACTGGAGAGGAGGTATGGTAAGATAACACCTACCTCAGTATACACTACACTAAGTAGCCCTGATCAGAATGAAATATTTAATACAGTTGACCTTAGTTTATCCATACATTTTGTATGTCTGTCTCTTTATTATAAATAAGGGCCAATGCACACTGCCTGTCTGGGGCGGCAGAGAGCTGCCCCAGGGAGAGGTGGATCGGGGCTGCAGCAACCCCATGCCACAGCCCTGATCCTTCCTTTGCCACCCGTAAAAGAGCAGCAAAATGCCGCTCCTTTTAGGGGCAGCTAAAAGGCCGCCCCAAGAGCCGCCATTTTGGCTCTTCAGCATGTGTAGGGCCGCACGGCATCAGAACGGCATCGGGGTGGGGTTGGAGTGGCTGGCGTGCAGCTGCTCCATCCCAACTCCACCCCCAGGCCAGCCCTTTGGGCTGGTCTGCAATGACCCTGAGTAGGCAATTAGATAAAACACAGCTTCTGATTAATGTTTACAGTTTTTTTCAGCCTTTTCAAGGACTTACCATATATACATGACTATAAGTTGACCTCATTATAGGTTGAGAGCAGGTTTGGGGGCCAAAATTATGGATTTTGATATGACCCATGAATATATTGAGGGTAAAACTTAACAGGCACAGATGGTAAAAATGCACATGTCAAAAAGGATGAAAAGGCAAAGCAAAACAAAACAAAGGAAATGACTATGGGCCTCTACAGACTGTGGGCCGCCCCGAGAAGCCAAGGAATGGGGCTGAGAATGCCCACTCCTTGGCCCAATCCACTCTTTGGGCAGCCCTGGAAGGAGCGCTAAAATAGCACTCCTTCCTCAAGGAGCGGAAAGGGTGCTGGAACAGGTGATGCATGTCTCTTCCAAGTTTCTTCCATCGCAGTGTGTCCATCGCTGCGACGGAAGGACATCATCGGAGCACTCGCCATATGCAATGGCGGGCGCTCTGATGAAGTCCTCTGGAAGAGGTTGGGGCACCCGGTGTCCAGCTGCCCCTCCCCTTCCTTGGCTTGAAGACAGCGCTTTGCACCATCTGCAAAGTCCCTATGTAAGCTGTGATTACAGCCTTTAAATTTCATGTAATAACTTACTCTAATTTTAACCCAGAAAAGCTGACAAATATTCACAAAGATCTTATTCAGGTCCTTCAAAGACCGATTCCTCTTGGAGCTCATTTGAGGGGCTACCATCAGAGCCATTGCCATCATTTTCCCACCCAGGCCCTAAAAAGGCCAAGAGCAGCAAAACAGTGAAGAAAGTAGGGGAGGGTGTCAGAGCTGCTTTTAGGTGCTCCCAGGATAGACTAAGCTCACACTTTTCCCCACTCCACTCAGAGAAGGGGATGGTTCCTTTTTTGATTAGTTAAAGTATAGTACTTCCATTCATCTGTGGATGAATCAAATGAGGGTTTTTGGGGTCAATTGTTTGACTAACATTTCTAAATTCATACATGAGCATATACAATAAGTCTCAAACAGAAACGATGATGTATCAACTTCTGATGAGCATCCTTTGACATTTGGGAAGAGGTCATGTTGATTTTGCAAAATACACTTCTATTGTGGTTTCTGTCTTATGGATCAAGCTTCCAGCAGCATTCAGCCTGTCCCTTAGACCTACTGTCGGTGATGACTTGAAATGTTTGGCTTGTTCACTTTAATAACAATGAACACCACTGAGATAACTTCCTTCAGAAGAGGAGCCCTTATTTTTAAATGACGGTTATTTTTAGTTCATCTTGATCTATTGATCTATCTACTAGGAAATATCCATGGCAGTACTGACTACCTTTCTTCTATTCTATTCTATTCTATTCTATTCTATTCTATTCTATTCTATTCTATTCTATTCATGACAACACTGTGTATTTGGGGAATGTATTTTGTCGCCAAGTCATATCATTTGTAATTCTTAACATTCAAGGATAATCTCAAATTTAATTTGCTGGTTAAATTTTATCTTTTAAAGCTGATACCATGTTTGAAATAATTGGTTTCAATAAACTTGAAAATGCAGCAAATGAACTTTGGAAATGGCCAAAGTCTGGTGCTGAAAGATTATGTGAGGATGATATTGGTTATTATCTATTCCATCTGAAGTAAAAGTTGAGTAATTTCATTTCACATATGCATATTGTTGGTTTTGTTGAAAAAGTCTGCTGAAACATATAGAACTCCTCATCTTTTTTTGTGATGTATCAATCCATCCCTATTTTTTCATGTCATTTCTGCCTCTAGTACCAAAATTTCTATTAGAAAAGTAACACCTAAGAACATACCTACTTCATTAACTGCGGTGTGTTGTTGTTTTTGTGTGCCTCCAATCATTTTTTACTTATGACGACCCTATGGCAATCTTATCATAGGTTTTTCTTGACATGTTTTTTCAGAGGGGATTTGCCATCGCCATCCTCTGAGGCTGAGAGAATATGACTTGCCCAAGCTCACCCTGTGGTTTTTTATGCTCAAGCAGGCAATCGAACCCTAATCTCCAGAGTCATAATCCAATGTTCAAACCACTATACCATGCTTGCACTGTGTTCTGGATCTCAGTTCTTTATGGCAGCTCATTAAATTTTGGTTGGGTGAGAAGTTCTTGTTTCTTTTTTGTACCCTTGGGCAAACCACATTCTGATGGGCTACTGCAGCCTGTCCTGTTACTGTAATGAAGGATGCTGTTCATTGGCTAGATCAGGGGTAGGCAACCTTTTTGAGCCGGGGGCCGGGTTGCTGTCCCTCAGACAATTGGGGGGCCGAAGCATATACTCTGACGACACCTAGGTTTACTTCTCCATGACTTGCACCTCCATGACCAGATCATCATCTCAGACCTCTAATGGCGTCTCTCCTCTCAATGACTGTCT